TATGGCAGTTTCCGGTTCTCAGAGTAATTGCCACCGGAAAAAGACACGGTAAAAGGCTTCAAGAGGATCAGCGGTGTGTCCTCTCTGCCTCTTTTTGACGAAATGGTTGAAATTCCATCAGGCCCAGGACTGTATGAGACTCGAAGTGATGCTGCAGCTACGGAAATGTTTTGCTCAGTGAAATGCACAGTACTTATTGACACAGTTAGTGTTCATGGCATACCAATGAATTTTTTCTCCCCGTGTGCAAAACGGCTAGCAGCCTGATGACTGAACGGCTCGCAGATTTGTAGTGGGTCGTCGTAGAGGCTCCCGTGGTCCATGAATAAGCTAGCAGCACTATTTTCGGAGATGCCTGTAAGTGTTTACTTTAGTCTCACTAGTGCTTCTGTATTACTAGTTTAACTGTACTGAACGTGTTATTGTTTGATAACTTCTAGTTTTTGGGCGTCATGCGATGAAAAGTCATTGGACTTACAGTACTCTCTGGCATGGTTGCGCATGCGGTCGCGTAATTCCTTAGGTATAAATTCGACTCTGTCTTTCTTAGTTTCTATTTTAAGCGGTGTGGCAATGTGGTCTTGAGCTGTGACTATATATTCAAAAAATGATCGCATAGTTCCTTAGCTGAACTGTTGGTAAAGAAGGGGCTCCAATCTAGGCAGTGCAAAAACAAATGCAGTTCCACTCATTTGGCGTACTTGAAGTGTCTACACAGTATCGCCGCTGCTTTTGGGCTAATTTTGTGCTAGATATGTTGAAGTATCCATAAAATACCCTGTGGTCGCTACCTGGGAATTGCACACCCGGCTCAGAGTTTTGTGGGCGTTTCCGCTTGTTAGGACGTAATTGCAACTTAGCGGTGTGAAGTAAAATGTGCCAAACATATATTTTTTTACTTACAAATTTCTTTTTCCGGGGCACTATTTTTCTTATTTACGGCAACGAGAAACTCCTCGTACATCCTCCTTTTCTATGACCAGCTTTTCGTTACCATGTAATGAAACTTTCTTTAAAGAACGGTGAAAATAAGCGTAAACTTTATTTTCAATATACTCGTATATATATATATTTCCCATTTTTTTCGGAGCGTTTTCATGGAATTAAAGACTTTCATTTATATTCCAGGTGCAACGAGCACTGGACGGAAAGTCAAAGAAAACCGAGGATCGCAATCGACGTACAATTCGATTTATTGTACTTTATTTTTAATTGCCACGACACCCTGGAATAAGTTCAGACAACCGGGAGCCACTTCTCGCAGTGAGCCCGTCGGAAGAGTTTTACCAGTGGAGAGACCACTGGGTTTTTAGTTCCGGCTGGTATCTTCTTAAAGTCCTCACGAACCCACTAGGGGGAGTGATCTATAGCGTCACACACTCTACCAAAATCAATAGCCTAGGGTTTGACGACTTTCGACATTGATGCTGACCTTGATAGTTTAACTGGACTCGCTAAGCTGAAGGCACACGGTCAAGCATCCTCGCCATTTGGCACGCTGTCGTGTTACGTTGCACTGCTCGTGCTCGACTCTCTAGCCAGTTAGTTGGAACGCATAGGCACCTTGGCACAACCACCCAAATATACTATTCCATCCTACTACGCTATTGTGTCCTCCTTTGGTCTCATATTCGTGGGTATATAACAAGTCCGAATTGTCAGTGATTGGTCTTTGCGTCTGTCAAGTTCACAGCAGGACAAATTCTGAGCAGTCTTACAGCTTCCTCTGTTATTTACAGAAAACCGTTAACCAACAAGAGTAAAATATGAGGGTTATTGTTCGTATCTCCTGATGGATAATTCTAGCCGTATTTGCTTTTAATACATCCACAATATCGCTTGCGTTTCTGTGATCAGATTCTTAACCGAAGGCTGGTAGTTCCCTTGGATTTCTGCCGCCCTCTAAACACATTACCGACATCTGCTGTAACCAGCGGCGCCCACAACAATGTTGGTAACATTTCATCCTTACAATGGCTGCTTCCGGCCACTTCTCCGCCTAACCAACGATACTACTGGTGTTGCCTTCCACTTCATTTGCACTTGACGGAAAGAGGCATTTTTAGACCATTACACCTCTCATTCGAAAGTTGTGAGACTACTATATGTCTTTTTAATTTACCTTTTTACACAACTGGAATGACACATAAAACGTACAAATTACGATGTCTGCCTGCCAACGCTTTGCTTGTGGAGGATATTTCTACTTGTGCATCGTACATGTTAAAAATGCGGATCCTGCTCGTACCCACCATGATGTCTGAGAAAGAGTCAGGGGACTACAGAAAGTCCCTATGAACTTCTTTCTTATTTTGTGTGGGAACAGTAGGACGCCTAGGACGAGAGTTTTCAGTGACGAAGGCATACATCTTACCAATTGTTATTCCAAGAGAAAACTTCAAAAAGTAGTTTGTACTGGCGATGTTCAGGGTGCCGACAATAATTACAATGAGAGCCTCAACCATCCGCCCCGGGGAATAACGACGTCCTTCTTCTCCATCGTAGCAGAATAAGGTTTGTTTGGCCACCCTGAAATTGTCCAGCGCGCAAAGGGTTTCTACTAGTCGCTCCCGTAGTTATCATTTTAAGCTTGTTCAAAGTTGCCGAAAAATTTGGCTGCTAACAGAAAATGGATCACGTCACAGTCTTGGCAGGTGTGAGGTCCTTAGGTAATTCGATATAACTTAACTAGGTATGTGTTTGGCAGCCAGTTCTCAAGACTGAAACATAAATACGAAGAGAAGCGGAAGGCAGAGGTGGAACATGAAAAAGATTAAGCCGGAAAATGAACACGTACTGCATCCGAAAGCTTGAATATAAGATTTTATGCTCAAAAAAGAACTTGTGGAGCTTGTATTCGGGGGGCTAGTGGTGTCCAGTTGTGGCCTGAAAAAATTAAGATTTACTCGTTGAATAACACAATAAATGTCAATAAATAGTAATAAAAGTCTGAATAGTCGACACACAAGCCCATCTTCTAGACCCGAGTGGTGAAGTGAAATCATTAAGGTCTCTCAAGAAGAGGCAATGCTCGTTTAACTCTATCGAAACCAGACAGCATACTCTGAAGATCAGAAGGGTCATATGGAGATTGGCACAAACATCGACACGGAAAACGTGTGCAAGAAGAAAGGAAAAGTCAGGAAGGAGGGGCTGTAGAAAACCAAACCCCTGTAGGCAAATATAAAATGTTTTACTTTACACATGAAGTTGAGAAACATATACCGTTGTAGCGTCACACACCCAACAAAATCAATAGCCTAGGGTTTGACGACTTTCGACATTGATGCTGACCTTGATAGTTTAACTGGACTCGCTAAGCTGAAGGCACACGGTCAAGCATCCTCGCCATTTGGCACGCTGTCGTGTTACGTTGCACTGCTCGTATTCGACTCCCTAGCCAGTTAGTTGGAACGCATAGGCACCTTGGCACAACCACCCAAATATACTATTCCATCCTACTACGCTATTGTGTCCTCCTTTGGTCTCATATTCGTGGTATATAACAAGTCCGAATTGTCAGTGATTGGTCTTTGCGTCTGTCAAGTTCGCAGCAGGACAATTCCTAAATTGGCGAGCCCGACGTGATCACATGTCCCGACCAATGACAAATATTGAATTGGTGAGCCTGTTCCATTTTTATTTGTATATTGTTTTCATTTCGATAACATTTATATATCCGTTTACCACACTTTCTCATGCCCGACCACACTCCCAAGCTTATTCGTATTAAGTCGACTACGAATACGATCCAACTCGTGCCAGACGATGCAGAACATGGTTTCTGTATGCCGAGGCCGATTTTCGAGAACAGGGCGTCTCAGACCCTCACTCTCGATTTCTTGCCTTCATACGTTCACTACCACGGAATTAAACAGGTACGTTACGACACACATGTTTAGTGCCGAAGCAAGTGATTTTTATGTATTTCTCATGGCCGCGCCTTTGGAGAAAAGCGATCTCACAGATCGCCAGCACCTAGAAGAACGGCTTCGTAACATCTAGCTAGGCAGCAACTCAGCTACTGAAGTCCTCGCACGCATGCGAGAAGTTGTGGGTGCACGAACATTCGACGATGGCCTTTTCCAAGAACTATTTCTCTCAAAGCTACCACAACCGGTGCA